TACATCCCACAAGTCTGACCCTCATTATAAACCCTCTTTATTGTTTCCTAGCAGGCTCTGCCTCAATTTCTGGGCTTCCTTTGCTCCTGTGTACCCAGATTTACATGCCCACCAGCAGGGCCTTTTTTCAGAACTCAGTTCCGGCACCTTTCAGGTGGGCAACATTGCCACTCTGTGAGAAGGAGGCAGGTGTTAATGGTGAGTTTTGGCACCTCTTTTTCTAGAAAGACAGCACTGCACCAAGATACATTCCAATGGGGATAGAACTCTCTGCCATGGAATCCCTGTTTCATGGAACTGTGAAACCTCTGTGTTCTCATCATGTTTTCATATTTTCTGTACCCAAGGCTGGTATGCCAAGTTGAGTGAATTGTTAGGATATTTCCGTTCCACCTTAAAAAGGGAGCAGGTTGTTGTGTTTTACAATCCTCAGAAGCTGCTCCGTGTCCACCAAAGCTAAATGGCCACAACTATCAGACCTGGGCAAGGTACTGTGAGGGCCAGATGAGAAGGCTTGGTGTGTGGAATGCTATTTCTGAGGACCCCCCAGCCCCTGTGACAGATGAATGGAAGGCACAGGATTCAAGAGCCATGGGGATAATTTTGCTCTCAGTAGCTCCTGAAGAATTAATCACCCTGGCTGGCAAGGCCAGTGCCCGTGAGATGTGGGATGGGCTTAAAGCCTGTCATCTCCGACAAGAGGCTGGGTCTGTGTTGCTTTACTTCAGAAAGCTGCACAGGAAGAGTTTGGAGCCAGGGGAAGACCTTAGAGCCCACGTTTTACATTTGCAGCATCTCAGATAGGAATTGACTCAGAGAGGTTTCAATATGCCTGAGTCACTGTTTGCAATTCTTATCCTGGACTCCCTGGATGAAAGCTACCATGCCGTGGCAAGTCAGCTGGCGACTCTACCTGCACAAGACCTCACTGCTACAAAGGTCTTGGCGACCTTGCAAAATGAATACAATAGAAGGAATGCAGCTGAGTCGGCTTGTGCGCTTCAGGGGGAGCAATGTGGGACAGCATTCCAGCCTCCAGGGGGAGCCAAAGCGTTGGCAGCTGTGAAGTGCTGGAACTGTGGGACCCAAGGTCACACTCAGAAGTTTTGTCCAAAGAAATAAACAAAGGAAGAAGCCAGCAGATGGCCAGAGGCAAGGGGGGTGGAAAGCCCAAGCCAGGGAAAAACAAGGCTTTGTTTGCTGGCACTGCTTCTCCAAAAGCCAAAGGCAAGTTTGATGGCCAGGAGCAGGGGGGCAAGCAGCAAAAGCCCACGCCGGTGGAAAACAAGATTTTGCTTGCTGGAAAAGCTGCTCCAAAGGCCAAGGCCAGGTTTGTTGTGGATTCTGGCGCATCAAAGCACATTGCCAACAACAAGCGTCTGTTTATCTCCTTCACGCCTCAAGACGGAGAGATCCACCAGGCTGATGGAAAGACGTTGCGAATTGCAGGACTGTGAAACTCGCAAGTCTGCACACAACCATCAAATATGTACTTTATGTTCCAGATTCTGCAGACAATTTGCTCAGTGTCCCACAGCTGACTGGGCGTGGCTTTGAGATTTCCTTCAAGAGGAGCATCTGTGTCATCAGGAAAGGCAAAGAGGACATTTTGCACGCAAAGTTTATAGATGGTTTGTTCTGTATAACTTATGATGACAATGGTGCTGCTGTGTCTAATGTTGATTCTTGTTGTGTTGCACAAACTAACAAAGTTCTTCATGCAGGATGTATTCACGAGGCACACAGAAAATTTGGTCACATGTCTTGGCAGGCGCTGGCCAAGATGCCTGGATTGGTTCAGGGTTTGAACATCAAGCCCTGTAAGTTTCACATGAAATGTGTATCTTGTGCAGAGAACAAGGTGAAGGTTGCTCCAAAAGGCATGGAGTCTAGCAGGCAGGCTTCCAAACCCTACCAGATAGTCCACGCAGACCTGGTTGGTCCACTTGCGCCCTCTTTGGGTGGAGCAAGGTACTTCATGGTTCTAATTGATTCTTTTTCCAGGTACTTTCATGTGTTTATGCTCAAGCAGAAATCGCAAGCGTTTCCTAGGTTCGAGGCATTCTGTGCTTGGTTGGAGAATGCTCACAGTAAACGTATCGGCTGTTTGTTTACTGACCGAGGCGGGGAGTTCACTTCTCAGCAGTTTGAAGCTTTTCTGACTGAGAAGGGAATCCAGCATGACCTCTCAATGCCTAGATCGCCATGGCCGAATGGACTTGCTGAGCGAGCAAACCAAACTTTGCTTCAAGGCCTAAAAACCTTGTTGCATGATGCCAATCTCCCTGAGAAGTATTGGGGGGAGTCTTTATCAACGTTTGTTTATTCCTATAACAGGAGACTGTCATCACCTATTGGTTGTACTCCCTATGAGAAGATGTTTGGTAAGAAACCTTACGTCAAGCACATGAGAATCTTTGGTTCTGACATGTGGGTACACACCCCACAGAGCAACAAGCTTGGGAAGCGTGGGGCACATGGTTTGTTCATGGGGTACGAAAAGGGTTCATACAGGGTATGGATGACTGACTCTAAGTCCACTAAGTTCACAAAGAGTGTTGAGTACAATCCTAAGTGGGGGGGAAATGTGGGAATTTTCCAGTTACCCAGAGGAAGGTGAAGGTGATGTGAAAAAAGCAGGTGATGTTGAGGTAGAAGAAGAAGCTGAGGAAGCTTAGGATGATGATGATGATGATCAGAGTTCGGATTCCAGCTCAGTGGGAGGCGCTGCTGCTGATGTCAGCGACAGTGATGACACAGCAGACTGCAAGAGCGCAAAGGCCTCAGTCAGACCATCTGATGCGTCTGACAATGAACTGGAAGAACCACTGTTCACCATTGGTCACTTTTCTCCTAAGAAGGAGGAGATGAGTCCAGAAGACTTGCGTCTAGTACGCAGATCTGAAAGGGCGACCAAAGGCAGACCTCCAAAGAGATTTGCTGATGAGTTTGCTAAGACAGCAACTGCTGTTCTTAGTAGCTCAGAGAAGATGTGGGAACCCTCAAGCTTCAAAGAGGTTCAGGAATTAACCTCTAAAGATGCTGAGCCTTGGCTTAATGCCATGAAGGCTGAAGCTGATTCCTTGAATAGGAACCAAACTTGGGAGCTGGTATTGGTAGTCCCAGGAATGAGACTGGTTGGCAGCAAATGGGTCTTCAAGGCCAAGACACACCAGAATGGCAAGGTTGTCAGACACAAAGCCAGATTGGTTGCCAGAGGTTTTTCACAGGTACCAGGACAGGATTACCACGAGACCTACTCACCCACCGTCAAGTATGAGAGCATTCGGCTGATGCTCAAGATTGCTGCAGAGGAGAAACTGCATGTTTCCCATCATGACATTAATACAACTTTTTTGTACGGGGTTTTGGGGGGGGGAGCTGTATATGCTTCCACCTGACGGGATGCAGATACAGAAGGGAATGGTCTGTAAACTGTGGAAATCCTTATATGGTCTCAAGCAGAGTGCCAGGTGTTGGAACACAAAACTCACTGAGACGTTGCTTTCTCTAGGTTTTCACCAGGGCAAAGCTGATCCATGTGTGTTTGTCAAGGAGGAGGGGCAAAACAAACTGTATTGTTTATGTTTTGTTGATGATTTTCTGATGTTTTGGAAGAATCAGGCTTTGTACCAAAGCACCCTAGCTCAGCTGAAGGAGCACTTTGACATGAAGGATCTTGGTGAGGTAGCTAACTATCTTTCTCTGCAGGTGGAGAGGGACCAAGCAGGTAATTTTCTGGTACACCAAACACAGAAAATTGCTGATGTATTAACCAGGTTGAATTTGGTTGATGCAAACCCAGCAGACACACCAATGGTGACAGGTTACCAGGTAGATAGTACTGCTGAAGCGTTTTCTGACACTACGCTGTACAGATGCATTCTAGGCAAGTTGAATTTCATTGCTAGATGCTCAAGACCTGACATAGCTGTAAGCACTAACCTGCTTAGCAGAAATGCCAACAATCCTACTGTTCAGGATTGGAAAGCTCTGAAGCACATAGCCCACTATTTGAAAGGGACTTTGCACTACAGGCTGAGGTTCACCAGTCAGAAGACTGGAGGTCTTGAAATCTTTGCAGATGCTAGTTTTGGAAGTGACACCACGGATGGTACAAGCACTTCTGGAGTATGCTACATGTACAACCACTGTCTGTTTGACTGGTTGTGCAAAAAGCAGACGACAGTAAGCCTAAGTTCCTGTGAAGCAGAACTCAATGCTCTGTCATTTTCACTCATGGATTGTGAATGGTTGATGCAACTGTTTAAGGACATCGGAGTTTCTGTGAAATGTCCTATACAAGTGTATCAAGACAATAGATCCTGTTTGGCTTTGCTGAACTCAGATTAAGTTACATCGTGCAAGAGAGTGTATTCAGAAAGGACTCATTCAGGCGTCCTACATGCCAGGAAATGAAATTCCTGCTGATCTGTTGTCTAAGGTTGTTAACAGAGAACAACTTAAGGTTTATGTACAGAGGTTGCAATTGGGTTGAACCACAGGTACTACAGGTTACACGGAAAGGGGGAGGATGTTAGGATATTTCCGTTCCACCTTAAAAAGGGAGCAGGTTGTTGTGTCACAGCCTGCGTTATTCCTGTTCACAGGAAGTTTCTGTTTTGTATTTGGTTTCATTTTCTCTCTGTGCCTGAGACATCGAAGCAGGCAGTCATGTTTTTTTCTTTGTTCTGACCAACGCTGAATAAACTTGTAAATATGCTCTCCTGAGTGCATCTTTCGCTGTACGAACTCTGCTGATAGAGCGTGCACGAGCTCTGGAATGTGGCAAGCTATTTCTGAGGCTTCGTGTCGCTAATTGACTGATACTGTATCTACGGGAGATCGATGGATCATCCGGAGGCGACGTGGAACCATGATGGCCTCTGTCTCCCTGGCAGTATCCCAACATGAATAATAATGCAATCTAGAATATGCAATAACAACAGGAAAGCTGCAAAGATGTCAGAAAATGATAGAATGAGGTGGGGGGTCTTTGAAGGGCCGTAGCTCAGTAGGTAGAGTGCTCGCTTTGAATATAAATGACTCCAGGTTCAATCCTTGGTGTCTCTTGGTAAAGCTGGGAAAGATCCTTTCTGAAACTCTACAGAGCTATTGCAACTCAGTGTCAACAGTACTGAATTAGGTGGACTGGTGGTGTGACCTGGTAGGGAAGCTTATTAGGTGGCTAAAAACTGCATATAAAAAAGTTTCTTGACACTTTTCCTGAGAAAAGTGAATATCATTTCTTTTTCCCTGGGAATAGTGATTAATATTTATTTTTCCCAAGGAAAAGTGTACTGTATGTCTCAGAGAAAACATGCCCTTAAAAATACAATGTGCAATCATAAATATCATTCATGAAAAATTAACAGTATTCTTCTAATATGTAAATTTGGAAGGGGGGGACCCCAAAAATTAGAGTGTCTGTTTTCTGATCCAGGTGTGGCATTTCCACAGTTGCAAATAAACATATTTTTGACAACCACTGTCCAGTCCCTAGTGATATCTGGAAACAAGCTGAACACTGCAAAGAAACTGTCACTTATTTAAAGTTGATTAAGATCTCTATTTAGGTTTTTTTATTTTGCTCTAAGCATGAAACATGATCTAGTGGCATAGTATGGACCAAACCCCATCACCACCTTGAAATGGCTAAGCACTGCACTGATGTATTCAGCAGCCTGCATGTTCTGGAACTATGCGTGGTTTATTTGTTGCATGGAAATGCAGGAAGGAAAACATTTGGGGCAATTGCATCTGTTTCACGAAGTGACTCAGAGCTTCTTTCTCTCTCCTTGCCCCCTCACTCTAGCATATTTATCATCCACACTTCCATCTTTAACAGACAGATGATATGTGCATCCCAATCTTAATAAAAAATAAGGGAGAAATATTGCCCTCCTCCGATATGACTTGGGTTTCATCACCTTGTGTTGGGAAACGAATGTGAGGACATCCCTGGGAGTTTGGATTAGGATCCTTGCAGAATATGGATGACTTCTATCTAGCTATGTGCTCTGTGACAAGAGAAACAAGCCAAGAACATAGGGATCACCTGACATTTCAGCTAGGAAATAAGAGTGTAGACGAAAGGGAGGGTGATCATAGCAGTCTAGCTTGGCTTTTTGCTAGACATTTGATAGAATTCTACAAATGCTATCTTGATATTCTTCTCATATTCAGTGTGACAGCAGCAAGTGCCGTCTGTCTGTCATTCTTGACTGTGCTCTGCAAGGTTCCAGAATTACACCACCGATTTACATTCATAAGGTGTCATTCAAAGTGCATAGTCTGTTGGCAATATTTATGTTGCAACTCATCCAAACTTGTTAATTAGCCTTCTAAAGAATAGATGTCCCGATTCCTTTCTAGCATTCAGCAGCTTGATCCTGGACTGCCCTCCCTGTGTGAATTCAGGGCAGCTAATGTTTAGTTTGAAGCTAAAGGGGATATTCTGTTTAGCTGTTGTGTCTTACGGTGTTTGGTATTAATGTGTCCTTTATTAAGTATTTTTAAAATTCTGTTGTAAACCAGAGATTTGCTAAATATAAGTAGCATACAAATTGTCCACATAAATAAATGAAAAACTGTAGGTTGCTCAAGTCTTTCCTTAATACCTTTATCTATATAGATATAGATTTTTAAAAATCTGCCCTCCTAATGAGTTGCAGGTGCCACACACTTTTGCATTCCCTAAAGCACATTACTGTTTCGGAGATGTGTGGTAGAGCAGTTGGCACTCCATAAATTATAAAGTGATAATGATATTCATGCCCTTCAAACAAGAAGAAAATCCTCTGTTAACAGCAGATTTCTTCCAAAATGTGGTAATGAGATGTGTTACACCTCTTGAGGAGAAACCTGCATGGTTGACTTTCTGCTTCAAGCTTAAAGATCTATTTTTGACTCAAATCTCCATGGTCAGAATTGACAGTGACTATTTTACTAGCCGAACAAACAAATGTTTATTATCTATCAAATAAAGCCACTTGGAGGAGGATCAGAGCCCAACAGCTAAAGTAGAAACAGGAAGAGAAACACTTATTTGCAGATGCTGGCTGGTTTCTTGTTTTTCAAACAAATTTCCAATTAGGATCAGAAAATGAGCCAATATACACATGGCTGGGCAACGTATTCTTGTGTTTTTATCATCATATTGTTGCTGTTATTTATTATGTCAATCAGTCACTTCAATAAAATGTATTAAAGCAACTTGACAATATGAAATGCAACACACATAAAAGCAAATTAAAGCCAGAAAAATGTAAAACAAAATAACGTGAACAACTGAGCTAAAGCTGGGAGATGGTGAATGGTCCAAGGTTACCTACCAGTTTACACAGCTTAGTGGCAAAGATGGCACCAGGTTTGAATGGAGCCCACAGAAGCATGCCCTTTGGTGGGCTTCATCCTGTAGCCAGGATTGTGGGTGGCTTCCAAGCCTAGTTGCCCAGTGCGTCCTGCCTCCCCACCCTTTGGCAGGCATCACTGCAATCCAGAATACCCTAATTGATATCTTACACTCAATACATTCCTACTGGAATCACTATGTAAATGGCCATATTGTGCTGGTCCCAGGGGGGTTACCGTGTGGCATGGTCCGTGTCCAGACCAAGGTCGAGGGTGTGGTATGGAGGCTGTCCGTCAAGGCTGAAGCGGGGTCCAAGGCAAGGAGTCGGCTGTGGTCAGGAACTCTGGCAGAAGAGCAGGACAGGGCGCCAGCAGGAACAGATTACCAACAACATTGCTCCCGCAACCTGCGACTGGGCTGGCTGGCTTTTATCTGCCCCGAGGCATAGGGCAGCCCCCGTCCACAGGTGACTCGCCTCTCCTGGCCTGGAGGCGAGCACTCCTTCTGCAAGTACTTAGTTCCCTCCGCCTCTCTGCTCTGAGCCTCTGCAGCTCAGGAGAGGCTGGAGGGTTACCGGACCCAGAGGCAACCTCCTCTGCCCCTGACGGGGCTGAGGGTGGAGCACCTGCAGGCAATGGGTCCTTGATCACCTCCGGAGCCAGAGCAGACTCAGCTGGTGTCTGCTCCTGAGGATCCGGCACAGGTGAGGACCCTTCAGGTTCAAGCCCCAGCCCCGGCTCATCTGGTCCTGGAGGCAGGGACTCCTGTGCAGGCTGGGATTCCTCAGGTTCAGCCTCTGAATCTGATTCCCAGGCCATCACACACATGATAACATGCCTTTCTTGAATGGCTTTAAAAGGAGGTTGGACAAATTCATAGAGAAAAGAGCTATCAATGGGTAGTTGCCTGGTGGCTATGTACTTCCTCTAGTGACTGAAGCAGTATGACTCTAGACACCAGTGGCTGGGAACCACATGTGGAGAGAGTGCTGTTGCACTCATGTCCTGTTTTTGGACTTCCCTTAGGCACCTGGTTGGCAACTGTGAGAACAGAATGCTGGACTAGATGGGCCTTGGGCCTGACCCAGCATGGATCTTCTTGGGTTATTCTTCTGCCTAGGTGGGTAATAGTATTCTCAACACTTATGATACTTCTTAATTTTGATGAGCTCTTTTAGGGCCCTATTTAGATCAAATAACCTTCATCACACAGTGTCAGGGACTGGGCAGAGGAGGAATGGTGGAGACCACCTCCCCAGCCTGACCCTTCCAGAGAAGAAGACAGTTCAGAATTACAACAGGGGTTTGAGGGAGGTCACAGCTTAGAGGCAGATGAGGGGGAAAGCTGGGAGATAATGGGAGAGGAGGAAGAGGAAGCACCAGGAGGGCAACAGCTGATGGACGCAGTGTCTTTAGAAAGCATTCCAGACCCACCTCCTCTCCCAGAACCCGGCGAGCCTTGAAAGTAGTAGAACAAAGGTCTCAGAAGCAAAGGGCCCTCAGTGCCACCCATAGGGGAGAAGGTGATGAATGAGGAAGTGGGAGAAAAGGGAGTGGAGAGTCTCTCGGGGCAACACCATTATTCCAAGAGGCTGCATTCCCAAGACTCTCTCTGTGAATATTGAATAAAAAGCAGGCGATAAGGACTTTTCCTTGTCTTATCTGTTCCTGGCAACCTGCCATAGGGGTTAGTTCTTCTGCCGCCTAACACACAGTTACAACTTCATAGTCAAACAAGGTTAATCGACAGCAGAAACTTAAGGAAATAACTCAACTTCCCTTTTGCTGTCAACCCATCTCAGAAGATTTCATGTGATGCATTTCTTGATGCAAGTGATTAATGAAGCACTCAGAGAATGTTCATAAATGGTTGCTCCACCAACCCAGGCAGAATTAGTGTGGAGGATGAGGGGATATGACCACACCCCTCATCCTTCACTCTGCACTAAGGAGAATAAGCACCTCACTCAGTTTAACATGGTTCACTTTTAGGCAGACTGGAAAGAGTGCTAGGAGGTGAATGTAAAGCTGATCAGTGGTAGAAATAGCATTCGCTATGGTGAGAACCAAAGATTGTGAGCAGAACTCTCCAGTAACCAGAATTCTTTCCGGCAGCTAACAATGGTTTTCAAGTGTGTTGAGTCCATTTAACAAAACCATTGTTATCATGTGCCAGCTGCAGTTATGCTGTTATTTATACACTGGAGTTGTGAAATCAGCTGTCCCTGAACAGCTACCATGGACAGAGCTTTATTATAATGTGAACTGAGTAGTCGCTATGGAAGTAAAATGGTCTGTGATCATTGCCACCTCAGCTGATGATGTGTGATGAACTGGTTCTGAAAGTATTGTAGAGCTGGCACAACTCCCCTTCCTTCTGGAGCAGATTGCCAAGGATGCCCTAGGACTTTTATACAATTTGAAATTGTATTCCAAATAGTCTCTTTAACTAAGCCTGCCCTTCACACCTGTCATAGTGGGCACCTTGGAATTAATTCTACCATGCATCATGGCATACCTGAGAATAATCTCTCCAATGTACCACCACGCCTCCTGTTGCTGCTTTCTTGTACAGCCCGTTACTGCATGATGAATGCATTTATATTTTATTCTCGAGTGTACAAGCTAAATAGTAAAACAACAAAGTGGCATTCCCTGCTTTGTTTTGCAAAATATATAAAAAACATGGTGATAATGGCACACGACAATGGCTTAGTGTG